ATATAATACTATTAATAGTATTAATATATAATACTATACATAAATTTGGCAACAAACTAGTTTTTTTAATTATTTAATATTTATTTAATTTTTATCAGATTTATTTCAATTAACAAACATATTTTTAATAGTTTTAGTTAATGCTAACAAGATTGAATTTTATGACGTATTTTGAACTTATTTGGAACAGAATAAAAGCAGATATTATACACCAAAGAAAACAGCATCTGGCCTCATGCTCACGAGCAGCACACATGCTCTCCAGAATGAGAATGTAAAGCCCCATCATTCACATTGAGAGGCTAGCGGACTAGTAATAATCATATGAGCCAAACCCCTTTATGTGGTCCTGCAGTAATCTCATTAGTAGTGCTGTTACATAACGTCTGATCCTACGCTGTACAGTCAGAGATCAGCCTCATTAAGGTCACTGACAATCACGTCTCTAAAGTCTTCTGACCTCCTGTATGATTGTATGTATCCCACCAGATTAAACATGACATATCTCCCACGAGTGCTTTAAAAGAATCAGTGGTGCACATGTTTGCTGGTTTTTCACCCTCCTTTGGCTGTGGTTTATCACAGGCATCGTAGGACAGCGGGGAGGATTAAGGTAACTCTAAATAAAGCTGGCAGATTAGGAAACATGATACCAGCAGCATGTTCTCTCTCACTCTGACAGAGTCATGGATGGAGAGAGCTGAAGACTTCCTTGGAGACAGGAAGACTATCCAGGAGAAACCACATCAATGATTTTTATTCATGCAGTTACAGAAGAGGACAGTTAAAATGAATGCCTGCATGATGGTCATACATTACCTTAACAAAAACCTAATGTAACTGTTTGTTTTTAATCTGTAAAAGAAGCTAAATATTATCATTTGACATTAGAAACTCAATGTGAACATGCGGACATATTCTTTGACTTCAAATCCTATAAAAAAGAAAAGCAGCCATGCATTGGTCTTCTACAAGAGCACAGCGGTAAGGTCATTTATTTTACATGCTAATGTTATTTATAAATTTAGAGTCAACAAAGTGCAATTTACATGCTTGTTAACTTCTACAATAAACAATATAAATAATTAATCATCTCACGTAAAACTTTTTATTTATACGATTAGTGTTAGTATGGGCTGTAATTAACTGTTCATGCCAGCTAAAAATGTTCATTCTGATTGTTAAAGAACTATGGTTTTAATGGGATAGTTCACCCAAAAATGAAAATTCTGTCATAATTTACTCACTGCCAGGTTGTTCCAACCTTGTATGAGTTTCTTTCTTCTGCTGATAACCACTGACTTCCACAGTATGGAAAAAAATTGATGACAGAATTTTCATTTTTGGTTGAACTATCCCTTTAAGATTGCATATTATGGAGTTATTCCTCAATCAGGAACAAGAATATATAAAAAATTTATTTAGGATATTTTAATATATTCAAATATTTTCACAGTTATCGACATGCAACACATATACTGTTTTCTCATTTCTATGCATAAAAATATAGTGAACTGTAACTAATTTTCCTCTTGGTTACCGTTGGTTCCTGTTTTTCAGCCTTAAGCAGCTGCAAAATGTCTGCAAGGGCAAGTCAGGTGTCGCCGCAGGTGCATCGGCACAACATTTACACTGACGGACAGCTCAGAATGTGGGTCAGAGCCGGAAGAGGATGCAGACCCTTCTAAGCATCTAACACCCCTGGAAAAGTTAACACTGGAAATGTGTAATGACGAAGATATCATAAAGGAACTGACGGTGGGCAGAAGGGTGGGCTTCTACAAAGTCCGCGGTCAGATCGGCTGTGGAAACTTTTCGAAGGTCAAACTGGCCATCCACGCCCTCACCAAAGGTAGAAGAGATTTAGCGTAATCTAACTGGTTTTGAATAAACACTTGACTTTTTGAATCTAGGTTAGGAAATGGTAAATGTAGGTTAGAATTAAGACAGTAACAGGATTAATGTGTAACGACCTCATCCTGATTTTATTCCACATGCATCTCCTGTAGACAAGGTTGCCATTAAGATCATGGATAAGATGAGGCTCGATCTGCAGACCCAGAGGATGCTGTCTAAAGAAATCTCCAACATGGAGAGATTGTATCACCCGAATTTATTGCAACTCTATGAAGTACTGGAGACGCCAAGTCGGTTGTACCTGGTTTTGGAGTTCACCGGAGGAGGAGATGTCCACACCAGAATCAGCTCCGGAGGAAAACTCTCTGACCAAGAGAGCAAGACTGTATTCGCCCAAATCCTGTCAGCAGTTAAATACATGGTTAGACCTTCTATATCAATAATATATCACTTTTTAAAATCTAGATTATAGAAAACATACCAATAGTAAGTCATAGTAAGTACAGTAAAATTGTTAAACGGGTCACTGACATGATGTTAATTTTTATCCAGATCTATTAACTCAAAAACACTTAAAAATGCAGTGCATGGTTTGAATACACCTCTTCTATGAAGAGCAAATTTCTGCATTAAAATTTAATTTGAAAAACTAAATTTAAACTACATTTTCGAAAAAAATAACTTCGTTTACCATTATAGTTTACGTCATCTTTTATAAAACCACTTTACAGTTTGAAAAGCTTTTCAAAACCATATAAATCCAACAAAATAAAGATTTCAAAGGATTTTTAAACTAGATTTTAACAGATTTCTTTTTTCCATTTTTTATGGTATGTGTCATTGACCCAAATAATTTTAATCACTGGATGAGAGTTGACTTGATGGCAGTTTCTTGAATTTATATATCTGTGTTCATTTCAGCATGAGAACAACATCATCCATCGTGATCTGAAGGCAGAAAATGTTCTTTATACAACCAACTCCTGCATAAAAGTGGCTGATTTTGGCTTCAGCACAAGGGTCAACAATCTCAACCAAGCCCTAGACACCTATTGCGGTTCTCCTCCTTATGCAGCTCCAGAACTCTTCAAATATGAGTCTTACATCGGGCCACCTGTGGATGTGTGGGCAATGGGCGTGGTTCTCCTCCTTATGCAGCTCCAGAACTCTTCAAATATGAGTCTTACAACGGGCCACCTGTGGATGTGTGGGCAATGGGCGTCCTACTTTTTCTCATGGTGACTGGCACATTGCCTTTCCGTGCTGACACTGTGGCCA